GGTACCTGGATGACCCGCATGTTGAGCCCGGTCTCCTGTGCCAGCTGCTCCCTGATGTGCCGGGTGGGTTTTGGGGTGGCCGCGAAAGCAGCTTTCAGAGTCTCTAGCTGTTTGGCTTTGATGGTGGTGCGAGGTCCCCGTCGCTTTGCTCCCAGGTTCTGGTCGTCGTTTTCGTTGCTTCCCGTCTCCTTGTCGGACACGTTGGCGCTTTCCGAGTCCTTGGCGTCGTCCTGGGAGGGATCTTGGGAGTCGGGGGACAGGCTGGGGTCACTGCCGGTGGTGGCTGGGGGAGAGCAAACAGGTCACACTCAGCCGGGGGGGAAATACTGGCAGTGCGGGACGAGCTGCGGTATGACCCGGGGAGAGCAGAAAACAAGGGGGAAAGGCGAGAAGAAATAAAGAGAGAAGGAAAGGAATGGAGAGGAAAAAGAAGGAATAGGAAAAGGAAAGGAGAGGAAAAGGAAAGGAGAGGAAAAGGAAAGGAGAGGAAAAGGAAAGGAGAGGAAAAGGAAAGGAGAGGAAAAGGAAAGGAGAGGAAAAGGAAAGGAGAGGAAAAGGAAAGGAGAGGAAAAGGAAAGGAGAGGAAAAGGAAAGGAGAGGAAAAGGAAAGGAGAGGAAAAGGAAAGGAGAGGAAAAGGAAAGGAGAGGGAGAAGAGGAGAGGAAAAAAGAGGAGGAAGAAGGGAAAGGAAAAAGGGGAGAAGGGAGAGAAGGAAGAAAGAAGCAAAAGGTGAAGGAAAAAAGAAGGGAAATAAGAAAGAAAGGAGAAAGAAAGGAGGAAGAAGGGAGGAAGAAGGGAGAGGAGAAAGAAGAGGACAGAAGAAAGAAGAGGAGAAAGGAAAGGAGAGGAGAGGAGAAGGAAAAAAAACTCATCCCAAGGAGCAGCCGGAGCTGAGCGCATCCCCTCCCGCCCGGCCCGGCCGCGCTCCCTCACCTGAATGCAGGCTGTTTTCTTTGGCAGTATTGCTGTTATTTAGGTAATCTTCTTTGCAGACAAACTTGTTCTCGTCTATGATGTAGAGCTCCTCGCCGGTGGAGAGTTGCTTGTTACACATCATACACGTAAAACAGTTCAAGTGGAACACTTTGCTCCGCGCCCTGCGGACCAGGTCGCTGGGGGAGATGCCCTGGGCACAGCCCGCGCACTTGGTCCCGAAACACCTGCGGAGAGAGGCCGGGCAGGGGGTCAG